AGTGACGTGTGCAGAGATGAGCGGCTCGACTGGGTGATGTTCGCGACAGCTGCCGTGCGCTGCCCCTCTGCTCCGGGTTACTGTGCGTCCCTGCAGGGCGCCTTACAGATGTTCTGGGCAGGCTGTGCGCCGTCAGCTGGTGCGCGTCGGTGGACGACAGCGGTCCGTTTTGGCCCTGCGTCTAAGCACGCACACTCCAGTGTCACACACGAAACATATTTTACACTTTTATGTGCATTTGTAGTAATGCAGCAGCAGCTGCGGGCGCACGCGACGGCATGGGCAGCACATCTTGACCGAGTGCGGGAGACTGCGCGCGCACGCGCGCTCCATCCGCGACGCCACCCACGGTCGCTCGAGGCTCATGTGGTCGTGGGCCCGGCGTGCGCATTAGGCCAGAAGATGGCGGGGGAGGCGTCGTGCAGAGCGCGGGCGTGGGCACAGGCAGAGCGCGGCCACAGACCTGGGGCATGCAGACGGACGCTGATGGCTTCGCGACGGTAGACTGAAGTGAGTCTTGTGCTATTTGACGTGTTCCGGTGGTCACTCACCTCACTCGAATAGACGTGCTGCAGCGCGCGGCTCGACGTGTTCTGCTGTGCACCCAGCCTCCGACTCGACTCAATGGTGTCTGCGACGGCGGCCGTGTGCCGCTCCTCCGCTCCGGGCTGTGGTACGTCTCTGCAAGGCGCCACACGGGCTGCGCGCGGTCGGCGGGACTGCGTCGGTGGACGGCGGCGTGGGCGGCCAGTCTTAGCCCTCCGTCTACGCACCACAAGCTTCGGTGTCGCCAATGAAAATATATCTTACATTTCTGTACGCATTCGCAGTAATGCTGCTGCTGCTGCGGGCGCCCGCGACGCTTGAGTGCGTGCGATGCCATGAACAGCGCATCATGACCGGGTCCGGGAGACTGCGCACGCAACGCGTGTCCCGCCCTCGACGCCGCCCACGGTGCGAACACACCACGTCGATTGGAATGGAATATGCGCCATAAACGCCACCGTATGGCAATTTCCGCTGGTTTCACCGTGCAGATCGACGATATCGTGTTTGACATTACAGCGCTCTGCCGTAAGACCGCGGGTTATTCGATCATCCAGCGGGTTCCAGCGTCGCAACCGCCAAGCCGGGGGATTGCACCAGGCTCACTGGCCCGCTGTGAGCACGCGGCGCTGTGGGAGCAGAGCCACTTGGTTTCGCGCCCGAGTCGCGGACGCGCGGGCGGTGTGTGCGGGCTCTCCCGCCTGGCTGGTGTTGATTGACGGACGGGCACCGTCAGCCCCTCCTGTGTCGAGGTGTTCCCCGCCCCCAGAATCCAGCAGAGGCACGCGCGCAGCAGCGGCCCGCGCGGGGAGCTCGTGGGGGGCATCCCGGGATGACGGCAGGCCGGCGCGCGCGCGCGTCGTGAGGGGCACGGCGTGTCGTGCACATCCGCGAGGAGCCAAGATGCCGATCAGGGCGCGCGGGGTCGCGCGGATCACGGTGGCACGCACGCGAATGGCGCAAATGCGAGGATGCGCACGCGCGGGCGCAGCATCGATTGCGCGGGGACGCTGCGTGCGACGCGGGCGTCGCTACCGGAGCGTTGAGGGTGACGGGCGATGTGGGGGCTTGCGGCGGGTAGACCTGGCGGGTGCGCACGTCGGCGAGGGTGTCCGTCTGCGTCAGGCAGAATGACCGCGCCCAGGTACGCGGGCGGGGACGCGGGGGGCTGCCGTCATGGGTTCGGGTGAGTAACAGCTTAGCAACGCGGCAGCCGATGCGGGACAAGGGCCGCGGCGCATGGGTAAGATGCCCGGGCGGCAGTCGTGGGAATGGCGACAGGTCGGGAGAGCGTGCGAGGGATTAAAAGGCGGGGATCGTTAGAGATTGCTGCATGGTTTACGACTCGGCTTCCGCTCTCTCCATCTTTTGTCCTGCTTGCCCGCTGTCTTGCTCGCCCGCCCCGGCTCTATTATGCTGTGCGCTTGGTCAGGTAAGCCGTCGTCGTGATTCGGCATGATGTCAGTGACGTGCGCGGGCTTAGGGACGTTCATCGCAACTGGGACGGGATCAACGAGGCGGTGATCGATGACTGCGATGGTGCGCGCTCTCCTGGGGACTGACCGCTGACTGGCCAGAACGTCGTGTCGCACATCCGCATCTGCGTTGGCTGGTGAGTGGCGGACGACGGTTTGGGCATGCAAAAGCTTACCGCGATGTGTGATCGGCAGGTGTTCGCATCTCGCTGGCTGCGCGGCGGTGCAGGCCATCCGCGTCCTCGTCGTCGCTCTGCAGCACTGGCGGCAAGAGGATGCAGTCGCCGGGCTGCGCGCGTAGTGAGGCGCAAAGGCCAGTGGACAGGTAGCGGGAGCTGCGCGCAGATCGTGACCGGGGTACCGTTAATAGAGCGCGTGCAGTGTGTGTGTGTGTGTGTGTGTGTGTGTGTTCCGACTCGCAATTGTGGCGCGCGATGGATGTTTCTTGTAAGGCGGCGGTGCAGGACGGAAGCGGCGCGCACAAGCCACGTCCCTTGCTTTCGTATTGATGTTGTGCGTCCGGGGAAGTCTGATGGCGCCGGCGTTGTGGGAATCATCGTCCACGGCCGACGATTTGCGCCGACGATTTGCGCCGACGATTTGCGCCGTTGTTGTTGCCCTGAAGCACCGGCAGCGGTTTGATGCAGGCGAGGGCTGTCGTCTCGGTTCCCGGCTGGCGTGTGGCGTGCGGAGGGCGTAGCGAGCTGTTTGGAATATCGGCGGCGGCGATTGAGCGCAGCCTCGGTTGGGGGCAAACGTCTAGATGTGTGGTCGTCGAGCTGTGAGCGTGCGGGACGTCGGCGTATATTTGTGAGTAGATAGTGACCGGGAAGTCAATGACAGAGGGCTGGACGACGTACGTGAGGGATATGATTGTTAGAGCGCGTGCATCGTCAAGAGGGCAGCAGCTGAATGAGTGAGGCGGCGCGGGACAAAGATGGTACGCACGGCCGGGATCCATTGAGCGATGGCTGACGCTGCACGAGGTGTTTGCCGTTGTCTGCAGCCTCGACGTCTGGTGTCTTCTGCGGAGGCGCGCTCGCGGTCGATCATCTGCCCGAGTCTGCGTGGAGACTGTCTGACGGCGGTCGCGATGCCCGACGCTGCTCAAAATCTGCGCCGTTCCCTGCAAGATCCCACGTCTTGCGTCTGATGCTCGCGCTCGTGATGGGCCCAAGTCTGTGTGCGCTGATGCGCGCCGAGGCACGCTGAGGCCGGGTTCCCGTCGTCGGATTGTCGACGCTGGTAGGATGCACGCGCGTGCGCCATTGCGTGCAGCGGATGTCGCCTTGGATGCGAGGGGGCGATCGCGCGTCGCAGATGTCAGAGAGAGGGGAGGCAGGCTCGGAAGGCCGGCGTGCAGGGCAGGCGCGCAGAGGGACGGCCACGCACACGGGAGCAGGCTCGGCTCGCGAGGGATGACGACGACGCTGGGCGAGAGGATGCGCGATCAGTAACCCGAGCGTCTATTTGCGCATTGACTGGACACGACGGCGCTTGCACGGTGTTCTATCTATCCACGGATGCCCACGCTTGGCCCGCGCTCGACGTCGAAGCAGCCTTGGATGGTGTATGCATCGCGAGCAGAGCTTGAACAAGACGAGCTACAGTGGCCTCGCTGCCAATCAGACTGCTCTAGCCAGAGCGAACAACGTCAGCTGACTCCTTTCGAGTGGGACGTTCAGAGACCGTGAAACAAAAGGGGCGAACAATGTATCTGAGACATGACGCATGAGAGCGAACATCTGACATACGTGTTTCCGATCGTGATACATAGCATGGCCTCTGGCGGCTGCCCGCGTACTCTATATTCAATTCACAAGGAGAGTAGAGCCTTCCCTGCTTGCCAGAGCAGGGTTCTCTCCATTTAAGTTCAAGATGTCGCCGAGCTTAGCCAAGGGGTAGGCGTATCGTTGGTTTTTCACTCCAACCCTCGTTAGTTTAGCGCTGGACCCCACCGAGTGGGTGGGGCCTCCTTCTTATCCCTCATTAGATTGTCCATACTGCAGTTCACTGACGATCTGAGTATCGTATTATGCCTCGCCAACTTACTCATTGGTTCTCCTATTGCGATTGAGGCTGCTCGCTTGTGGCTATTTCTGAAAGCTTCAAGGTGGACCTCGATAGCATCACTGACTGGGATATCAGACAAGGCAGATCTCATCGTGATTCGCTGCGAGAGGAACATGTACAGTGGTCGAGAAAAGACTTGCAGTATACTATTGAGTCTGGTAGATAACTTGCATTATGCCATACAGTGAATCATCTAGTACTGTTCAAATATACATAATCCATGCTTACGTTACGGATTTAGCGGTGTATATAGTACTTGTACTTCTGAAAGTGTATGAAGTGCCAGATCTGATTAGATTGCAAGATAGAATAGGGCACTCAGGCCTCGAGACGAAGCCTGACTTACCAAACCAACATTTCAGCTGCACAGAGACCGAATTTATATTGGGTATATGATGCTACAAACTTCCAGAAGCTTATTTCGAGGATTCGCGCTTGCAGAACATTGTTTACGGAAATCAAGCAAGTTAGTGAATATGGGGACACCGGTCACCAATTGTACCACCACCACCAGGGATGATATGAGAAATCAACAGAGCGCCTACCCCTTGAGCTTAGCCC